TTGTACGTAGCAGATGCGAAGAACAACCTGGAAGAAGACAACAATGTTGTACGCAGAGGTACTATTTTATGTGGGTTGGCTCGTGTATATGAACGAAAAGGAAGTAGATTTCTGTGTCGTGTTGAGGAACACTACCTTAAAAGCATTTACGACCAGTGTATCGTATGTTCTCGATAGGTTACACAGAACAACAGGGTTCTAACCTGTAAACTCACTCTCAGGCTTAATCTCAGAAGTACATAAGCAATGGAATGTCGTGTGTTTAGAGTGAAAGGAGAACGCAGTATATATACTGCAAGCTATAAGCCTATAACCGCCCACCCCTTACCAGCCACAAGATGAGGACGCAAAACGTGGGTGAAGACCAACTATGCAAAGACACGTTATGCTTGTTCAAATGAAATATGAACAAGGTGGTGAGATGATCCACAAAAATAGGGACTGAAAATAATATTGAAAGACAAAACTCAATAAATTCCTTTTGCCTTTAAATGTTTCCCAACAGCCCTGGGAAAGTTCCAAGTACCAAGCACTGGGAGCCTATTTAAGGCCATATAAGGCTTCAGTTAGTTTGCAGATATGAGTTGGAAAAGCAGGATCGACAAATCTCGGTGGCTGCTCCATAAAGACCTCCTCTTGCAACGTTCCATTAAGGAATGCATTGTTAATGTCCAATTGGCGCAAACCCCAACGATTACTCAAAGCAATGGTCAAGACCACACGTATGGTCACTAGTTTCATCACCGGACTATATGTCTCAAAATAATCTGGGCTAGTAGTCTGCAAGAACCCTTTAGCAACAAGCCACGCTTTGTACCGATCAACGGACCCATCTGGTTTGTGCTTGACACGATAGACCCATTTGCAGCCAATCGGGACAGCCCCGCCGCAGGAAACCAGTTGCCACGTTTTGTTACGATGGAGTGCTTCGATCTCCTCATCCATCGCTTTCCTTCACCTAGCGTCTTTAAGAGTCTGGGCGACGGTAGAGGGTTCTAAAGCGGTAGGCAGGGGATGTGACGTGGCTTGGATGGTAACATAGTCAGAATACTTGGGATTGGGACGACACTCGCGAGTAGACCAGCGTAAATTATCCTGCGATTGAGAAATGTCGAAGGTGGTAACAGGCTGGGAGTCAGACACAGATTGGCTGGGATATTGGTCACTTCCTGGAACAGTAGGTGACGGGCAACCAGAAGGTGACGATGAACTGGACTGAGCTGACGGTGAACAAGTGGGGATGGACATCCAGATTGTTTTCGCCGACCTGTGTTGGAACTGGAGTTTGAACATCCATCGGAGCAGGTTGTGGACAATCGGCTACGTTAGGGAGAGACGTAGCTGGAGAAGACGCGAAAGATGGAGCGGGTGATTGAACAATCGTGGGAATGGCCACGGACTGTGTAAACACAGGAGACGACTTGAACACAACATCACTGGCCTCTGAACCCTGCAAACTAGAAGGTGAGCTGCTAGACGTTTGCTGCAAATCCCTATAAGGAAACACATGAGGCACAAACACTTACATGAGTAGCTTAGTTGGTACTTAGGTGATAGATTGAAAATGAGAACTCAAGATCAAGTACTGACAACTCTAATGTGGGAGTTTCACCCATTATAATGGATTCCTTGTGAGCAATAAGCACTGATCTTCCCAATTAAGAGAATATTCTTACCTTAGGGTGCGTTTGGAAACCTGAAAAATGACTTCCGAAAAATATATTCCGAGTTTTTAGTGTTTGGCTAGAGGGGGGAAAATGAGGTCAATGGAAAATGATGCACTAGTCAAAGAAAAATATGTATGTTTTGGAGGAAAATGACTTTTCATTTTTTTTGGGGGAAGTCATTTTCCAAGGGATAGACATGCAAAATTTTTCGAGCCTAATTTTTTGAGGGCTTTAGCGAGTCGGCCAACCAAACCCGCAGGCTAGAAATCATGTAACCAAAGCCCACCCCATGCGGGTTGACGGGCGCTACGGGCCGGTCCGTGAATTTATTTTTTTTGAATTCAAAATTCAAAAAAAAAAGTAAAAACTACAAATAATATTATTATTTTCGTATTTAATTTTTTTTTTAAATTACGTTTTTTAAAATATTATATATATATATATATATATATATATATATATATATATATATATATATATATATATATATATATATATATATATATATATATATATATATATATATATATATATATATATATATATAGGGATGCACTCAGGTGCGAATAAGTGCCCAGGAAGGAAATGCGAACGAATCAGCGCGCGACACGTGTCCAGATCTAATAACTTAAAAAAACACGGTGGCATTTTCGTAAATAATTGAACATCGAAGTGCAAGTAAAATCACTTACAAGTGCACTTACTTTCACCTATAAGTGCATGTAATTTTACCTTGTTAGAATTCACTTTCCGCAAACATTCATGCACCTGGGTTTGCTTATAACTATGTGTGCAACTATTTATAACTATAGGTGCAACTACTTATAACTATAGGTGCACCTACTTTCACCTATAAGTGCATGTAATTTTGCCTTGTTAACATTCATTGATCTGTGTTCAGCGGGTAGTAATACCCCTGAAAACCACTCGCAAACATTCATACACCTAGGTGCAACTACTTATAACTATGTGCGCAACTACTTAGAACTATAGGTGCAACTACTTTGAACTATAGGTGCAACTAAGTATTGATGTTCAGTGTAAATTTTTACTTGCACCAATAATACATTTTACATGCACTTGTAATACATTTTACTTGCACTTCGATGTTCAATTATTTACGAAAATGTCACCGCGTTTTTTAAAAAAATCAGTGTTTCTCGTCCATTAGATCTTGACACGTGGACGGACAGAATCCATTCCTATTTCGCGCCTGGGCAAAGCCTTCGCACTTGAGTGCGATTCTATATATATATATATATATATATATATATATATATATATATATATATATATATCAAAAGAGTGTTATTCAAAAAAGAATTTTATCAAAAGTATTAAACATTTAAAATTTTGAAGTATTCATTTCTTTTCATTTTCCTACTCATTTTTTGGAAAATGAACCAAACACACAACGACAGTTTTTCGTTGGGTAGCCAAACACTGAAAAGGAAAATATTTTTTGAAAAATGACTCATTTTTCAAAAAACATTTTCGAAAAGTCATTTTCCTACTTTCCAAACGGAGCCTTAATTTATACCTCTACTAATCTTTTTGAGGGTGAGGAATTTTCTACTAACATTTCAGTCATGCCATTTTCAATTTGTCATATCGAGTATCGACACTAAACGCGGTTTGAGGGTGTATTTCCACAATTGTTTTAGGAAAACTATCGTTGACTGACTATGAAGTCTTCCAGCCCCCGATCCCACATCAATCTTCAATCCATATTTTCCATCATCATCTAAAAATGATGAGTGGTGAGAATATGATAATTTTAATCAACTCAAACTTTTATTTAATATTAATTATTTATTTATTAGATAATTCAATAAATATTAATACCAATTATTTGGAAGCATTATTTAACAATATCACTAGAGTATCAAATTAAAATTCCAAAAACCCCCCATATTTTTTTGGGGCTCTCCTCCCCAAATGATTAGTAGTACCAAAAAGTATTTATTTACAGTTTATATTTAATGTCCAAGTCAGAACTATCATAAATATTTTGGCTGTGAAGTAATGATTGTTGGAGAATAAGTCTGATAAATAGGAAAAAATACTAATGGTCATGAGTTTTATGAGGAAGAGAGGCAGAGGCCTTGGCTCATAGTGTTTTGTCTTAGCAGGTTCTATCCTGTGGGTTTCATCCCTTCCTCCTGATAAAAAAAAAAAAAAAAAAAACTAATAACAATGGGATTTAGAATCTTAGAAATAATCCAAATAAAGTCAACGATACAAAAAAAAAAAAAAAGGAAAATTCAAGTAGTGCGTACACGCTCTACTTAAAATTGATTCGCTATCCCTGAGGGTGCTAGGAGCGTTGCAGTGTCTCTCAAGATAAAATGCATTTACTGTAATATAGTTGAATAGTTGAACACTTAAGATATATTACTCTCAACGAACTAGAACAATAGGTAGAACACAATAAAATTTAGAAAAGTGGGCAGAAGTTTCAAGAAAAATGAGATAGTGCTCTAAAGCAGGGAAAATTATATTTTTTCAGCATGGTAAATCATCTGCCCAACACCAAGCTATTTATAGGAAATGATAGAACGAAATAATAGTATTAATATGACATTTAGACCGAATTTTAATGGAAATAAAGTGATATATTGTTTGTAAGATATTTATCAGAGCTGTGGTTGGATAGACAATATCGAAGATGATGCGAGAAGAAGAGGTGGTGTCACAAGCCGACTGCAACGAGGGGTTAGTGGAGGTAGCTAGCGATGGCTTTATTGGTGCACCTAATGAATAACTTCTTTCGCATTAGTGCACTTAATGATAACATTTGATGCAACTAATGATAACGTTAGGTACACTTAATATTGATACTCAATATACATTATTTGTTGCACTTTTAATACATTTTACTTGCACTTAGGTGCACTATATGAAACTGTTACTTGCGCTTCTAACACAATTTAATTGCACTTCAAAGTTTTATTATATATGAAAATGCACCGCATTAAAAAAAAAAAAACAGCGTTTTTGATCCGTTAAATCTGAACACGTGAACAACTGCAATTGATTTTCAGTTCTCTCCTGAAAAGTTGGTTTTCATCTGATCGGTCTCCGGTATATTGGACATTGCTATGCTAAAATGTCAGTTACCAAACAATGCCTATAGATTGGGAAAAAAATGGAAACACAGTGCTTTAGCCATATGAAAAGTCCATCCAAAAACTCCTTTCTTTCACACTCGGTCTAGAAAATCCTTGTCACACTACCAACGTAACATTGGGATATAAAAGGCATTCTAAACCAGCAACTCAGCAAGCATTGCATCCACACAAAACAGGCCATAAGAATTAATATAATAATAAGATGAATGGAACTCTTCCTGAACGTCTGGGGAACATGTTTCCGATGCTGGATTTTCTTGATGTTTCTAATAACATATTACAAGGTGTTGTGACCGAGAATCACTTTGTTAATCTCAAAGAATTACGGTTCTTCTATGCATCTGGAAATAGATTAACATTGAAAGTGGGTCCAAATTGGTTGCCTCCCTTCGAACTTAGCGAGCTTGGGTTGGGAAGTTGGCACTTGGGTCCTCAATTTCCAGTTTGGTTGCAGTCACAAAAAGAGATTTCTGAGGTGGATATAATTGAAACATGTGCTCCATCTCAACTAAAAGTCTAAGCTGATAGTTGGATTACACATTAATGGTTATATGCTCAACAGATATATCTAATGCTGGAATCAAAGATGAAATTCCAACTTGGCTTTGGAACTTATCCTCTCAACTCTCTGTCCTCAATCTACCTCACAACCAATTCAGTGGTCGATTGCCTCGAAACACATTTCCCATAACTAAATTGGACTTGTCAAACAATTTATTCTCAGGGGACGTCGTTGCTGTCTTTTCTCATCCTCAAAATGAATCGATCAAGCTTAAATGTATCAATGATGATTATATTGGTATTGTTTGCAAGTTTTGATCTTTCAAACAATTTTTCGGGGGAAATACCTGTGGAACTTACCTCTTTAGTGGAATTAAGATTCCTGAACTTATCAGGAAATAAGTTGACAGGAAACATTCCCAAGAAAATAGGAGACATGAAGCAATTAGAATCCATTGATTTATCTAGAAATCACTTTTCTGGAGAAATCCCCTACAGCCTCTCGAATCTAAACTTTCTGAGTTACTTGAATTTGACTTATAACAATTTGTCGGGGAAGCTAGATCCCTACTGCATCTTGTTATGTTGGTAACAATCTTTGTGGGCCTCCTCTCATTAAATGTAGCAATTATGATGATGATGTTCCTGATGAAGAGGAAGACAGAGGAGATAGATGATTCTGATGTCAACACATGCAAACAACACTCTACAAAGCTAGCTAGAATCTGTTTGTAATCAGCTTTAATCTTTCTATTATATCTGTTAGGAAAGTTAGTTAGAATCAGTTTCTTCCCTTTGGTTTCTTTTCCTCTCATATAAATGGTTCCTCTTTGTAACAAAGCAGGTCAATGAAACAGTTTTATTTCTTCTTCTTCACCCTTCACTGCCAACTGCAATACGGTATCAGAGCCATAAGATCATGGCCTGGGGTGCACCTTCAGTAAACACAGTTAGACCAACAATGGCTTCCTCCTTTTCCGAATCTTGGCCAGAATGCCTCAATTTCCACAAATCCCACTCCAAACCCTATTGCCTATGAGCCTAAGGATCGAGTTGATCCACTGCATCTTCATCCCAGTGAAACTCCCTCTCTTCAGCTGGTGACTACTCAATTAGAAGGGAGATCGAACTACCATCCGTGGGCAAGGGCTATGGAAATGGCGTTGAGATAAAAAAACAAGATGGTGTTCGTGGATGGGACCATGGCTGTTCCGAGTAGAGGAGATATCAGGTACTTCTATTGGGATCAATGCAATACCATGGTGCTTTCATGGATTCTCAGGGCTGTTTCACCAACAATTGGAAGGAGTGTACTCTGGATCAATACGGCTGAAGGAATGTGGAAGGACTTGAAGAAACGTTTCAGTCAAGAAGAGATATTTCGCATTGCAGAGATTCAGTCAGAAATTCATCAAATTAAACAAGGTACTAAATCTGTTAATGATTACTTCACTCATCTGAAGTTGCTTTGGGATGAATTGTCTGTTCTTAGACCAATTCCCTCATGTGAGTGCTCACCAAGTTGTGAGTGTGGTAGAACTCTATCTGAAAAGATTAGGGAACATCTAGAAGCTGATATGCTGTCAGCATTTCTCATTGGACTGAATGAGAATTACACTAACACTAAGAGGCAGATAATGTTGATGAAGCCTCTTCCTGATGTTGGGGAAGCCTTTGTTATGGTTTCCCAGCAAGAAAGACAGTTAGATGGTGAATTGGTTAATCCAGGAGATAACCTGGCAGGGGCTAGTGCTTTCTTTACAAATTATGACAACAATGCAAGAAGATCCTTCCCTGGTAAAAAACAGAAACCAGTGTGTAGTTTCTGTGGTTATACTGGACACACAATTGATAAATGCTACAAGAAGCATGGGTATCCCCCTGGTTGGAAATCAAGAAATAAAGGGGGGGGGGGGGGGGGGAGTTAATCAAGCACAAGCTGTTGTTAATGGCTCAGAGAATGGCTCAGAAATTAACTCATCTATTAATGAAGATGATTTTAGAAGATTCTTGGAATTTATGAAAAGTGAAAGGGCCAGCAGTTCTCCTCTCAGTAGCAACACCATACCAGCCAAGGCTAATGCCATAGCAGCAAACTTCATTCCTGGCACTAGAATGGAAGGTAAGAATGCCAATCTTACAAACTCTGAATCAATATGGATTTTGGATAGTGGTGCCACACATCACATTGTGTGCAATGTAAATTTTTTGCAAGATCCTAAGGAAGTTAAGGGAATATTTGTTGACTTGCCTAATGGAAATCAAGCTCAGGTTTCCCACATAGGGACTGCTCAGCTCTCCACAGATTTGATACTGCTGAATGTTCTGTGTGTTCCTATCTTTCACTACAATTTACTCTCATTAGGAGAGCTTACAAGGAGATCAAACTGCCATATATTGTTTCACTCTAATCAATGTGTTATACAGGCTCAACACCTTGGGAAGATGATTGGTATGGCTAAACTAAGGAGGGGACTCTATCAGCTTACATTTCCTATTTTTACTCAATGTAATCTGGCTGTTAATGTCTGTAGTTTTTGGCATGCCAGGCTGGGGCATCCATCTGAAGGCAAAATCAAGTACTTACACACCTTAGATAGTAAGATTTGTAATGACAAACCAGATGTTTGTGACTATTGTCACTTTGCAAAACAAAGAAGGCTGCCTTTTCAATCCAGTTCTTCTATTTCTAAAAGTTGTTTTGATCTTGTGCATGTTGATATTTGGGGACCATATCACACCCCCACCATTTATGGTCATCAATACTTCCTAACCTTAGTAGATGATCATAGCAGGGCTACTTGGGTCTACTTAATGAGGAAGAAAAGTGAAGTTAAGCAAATTATACAGACTTTCTATGAGTTGATCAACACACAGTTTGCTAAAAGTATAAAGTGCATAAGATCAGATAATGGCAAAGAATTTAACCTGGAAGAATTCTATCACAGTAAAAGCATTGTGCACCAAACTTCCTGTGTGTACACTCCTCAACAAAACAGTGTGGTTGAGAGAAAGCATGGCCACATCTTGGCAGTGGCAAGAGCTCTAAGGTTCCAAGCAAATCTGCCTGAGGATCTTTGGGGGGATTGCATCCTTCATGCAGTTTATATAATCAACAGGCTGCCATCTGCAACCTTGGATAACAAGATCCCATATCAGATCCTATTTAATAAAATGCCTCAATATCAACACCTTAAAGTTCTTGGATGTCTGGCTTTTGCAGTTGTCCCTAGCTGTCAGAGAAGCAAAATGTCACCAAGGGCTAGAAAATGCATTTTTTGGGGTTTGCTAATGGAGTTAAGGGGTACAAGCTCTTTGATCTACAAAGTAGAGAGGTATTCTTGTCTAGGGATGTCTGTTTCTATGAAGACAAGTTCCCTTTCCACAATATTGAAGATAGTCAGTCCACTGATCTTGTGTTACCCTCTGATGAAGCTGTATGTTTTGATTTAAATGAGCATGTGGTAAGACCTACTGATATGCATTTATCTGAAGTTTATGAATCAGTAGCAGATCAGGTTCAATCCCAGCCATTACCACCAAGCAATGATAGACAAAATGATGCAGAGTCAACACACGCACCTCAACCAAGGAGATCAAATAGAAACAGGACTGTTCCTGCCTATTTGATGGATTATACATGTCAAAATGCAGTTGCCAAGAAGACATCACCACATCCTATCTCTAAAACTCTCTCCTATGACAATTTGACAGAAAGATTTAAGGTTTTTGCTATCAATGCCTTACAGGCTAAGGAGCCAAAGAACTACAATGAAGCAATTAAAGAAGATTGCTGGAAGAAGGCCATGGAGGCTGAGATCAAAGCCCTACAAGACAATAATACCTGGATAATCACAGATCTTCCTCCCAACAAAGAGCCTATAGGATGCAAATGGGTATACAAGACCAAACTCAAAGCTGATGGAACCATAGAGAGACACAAAGCTAGGCTTGTTGCGAAGGGGTATACTCAAACTCCTGGCCTAGATTACTTGGACACATTCAGTCCTGTGGCCAAGATCACCACCATCAGGATGTTGTTAGCCATTGCAGCTATAAAGGGTTGGACTCTTCACCAATTGGATGTCAACAATGCCTTCTTGCATTGGGATCTAAATGAAGATGTTTATATGAAACTACCTCCTGGTTTTACTCCTCTGAAATCTGGCCAAGTTTGCAAATTGGTAAAATCCCTCTATGGGTTGAAACAGGCAAGTAGGCAATGGAATGTAAAGTTAACTCAAGAACTGATCAGCATGGGCTTCAAACAAGCCATTTCTGATCCATGCTTATTTACCAGAGGCAGTGCAGACAGTTTTGTAGCTCTACTCATTTATGTGGATGATGTTGTGATAGCAAGCCCTGATCTACATCAAGTTGAGCAGATTAAACAGCATCTCAACAGTGTGTTTCACATTAAAGATTTAGGACCTTTAAGGTTCTTTCTGGGGTTGGAGATTGCAAGGAATAGTAGAGGCATTTCTATGTCACAAAGAAAGTATGCCTTGGAACTGCTTGAGGAAACAGTTTTCCTACTATGCAAAACAGCCTCAACTCCTATGGCTACATCAGTCAAACTCAGCAAGAACTCTGGTGATCAGTTGGAAGATATCACTCAATTTAGAAGGCTGATAGGAAAGCTTCTATACCTTACTATCACTAGGCCTGACATTAGTTATGCTGTTCAACAGCCATCACAGTTTTTGGATTGCCCAACTAATGTTCATATGCAGGCTGCTCATAGGATCTTGAGATACATCAAGTCTGCACCTGGGCAAGGGTTGTTCTTCTCAGCAAAATCCTCCCTACAAATAAAAGGCTTTACTGACTCTGATTGGCCTGCTTGTCCAGACACAAGAAGGTCAATTACTGGTTTTTGCATCTTCCTTGGCTCATCCCTTGTCTCATGGAAATCCAAGAAACAGGTTACCATTAGCAGAAGTTCTTCTGAAGCAGAATATAGAGCCCTAGCCACAACAGCTTGTGAGATTCAGTGGTTGTGTTATCTCATGAAGGATTTAGGAGTCTTGGAAGTTTTTCCAGCCATGCTATATTGTGACAATAAATCAGCCATTGCCATAGCTGAAAATCCAGTGTTCCATGAGAGAACAAAACATATAGAGATTGATTGCCACTTAGTGAGAGAAAAGCTACAGAAAGGTATCCTAAGGCTACTGCATGTTTCCACTGATAATCAGCTAGCAGATGTCTTTACAAAGCCACATGCTCAAACTACTTTCAACAACTTAATCTCCAAGCTGGATCTCCATAGCATGTATATTCCAGCTTGCGGGGGGGGGGGGGGGGGGGGGGGGAGGGGTGTCAACACATGCAAACAACACTCTACAAAGCTAGCTAGAATCTGTTTGTAATCAACTTTAATCTTTCTGTTATATCTGTTAGGAAAGTTAGTTAGAATCAGTTTCTTCCCTTTGGTTTCTTTTCCTCTCATATAAATGGTTCCTCTCTGTAACAAAGCAGGTCAATGAAACAGTTTTATTTCTTCTTCTTCACCCTTCACTGCCAACTGCAATAATGAGGCAAAGTGGTTTTACATTAGCATGGGTGTAGGATTTGTTGTGGGAAGGTGTGGCATCTGGGGACCTTTGTTTGTTGTGAAATCTTGGAGGTATACTTATTTTCAGTTTATAGATGATAAGTTAAAGGAGTTAATATATCCAATGGTCCTCCGAGTATTAGGGTATTACCAGGTGTGGTCCCCCGACTTTAAAACGACCACTAGGCATCTTACTAGTTTAAAAAAAAAAACCACCCGTGGTCCTCTGTTAGGTTTGCTGTCAAAGGGGTGTTAAGTATAAGAGGCCACTCTACTTCGACGAGAATGGCAACGAAGGAAGCTTTGGCCTTGGGCCGTCAATTGCGAAAGCCGTGGGTTTCAAAAAACTGGCAGCTCTGAAGATTGGCGAACCACCTGTGGATTATACAATTAACTCCTCTCTCTCTCCTCAAAGATGGAGTCTTTGGACGACCCTTCCTCCATTGTTTCCTGTTCCAGGGTAGCTCTCTATGTTGATTCTTGGGCACAAAGTTTTCCTATACATGTACCCCACTTTTCCTTGTACTCCATGAATGCGGTATGCTTGATTAAGAAAAAGTGGTGAAAGTGAATACAGAAAAGGATCTAGTGACATGTCCAGGAAGCAGGACATGA